TTAGTGAGATGACAATCTAGAAGTAAGAATAATAATGGTAAGAAACAAACAACATAATAAATGGATTACAGTACCTTTTGCATGTCAGACATTACTGTTAAATCTTCACCATTCCTCAACTCTAAATCAGTTTTGAGATAGTTGATGAACAACCTCCATGAATGTGTAGTCTCTTGATCTACCAAAGCCCAAGCAATGGGATACATCTGATTATTTCCATTTTTTCCAGCAGCCACTAACAATTCACTTTTGCAGGCTCCCTTTAGGAAACAACCATCAAAACCTATTATTCTTTTACAACCTGCCATCCATCCCTTCTTCATAGCCTCAAAGAATACATAAAAGTATTTAAATAGATGTTTCCTAGGAACTGTTTCTGTATCAGTTCTCACCCAACATGAACTTCCAGGATTGGTGGACTTAATCATGTCAGCATAGTCCAGCAACCTAGAAAATTCAAGGTTCCAGTCACCCATAAACTGGCTAATTACCTTCATCTTGGCTCTATATACAAGTGATCTTCCTACATACAAACCCTATTTAACCCTTATAACCTCTTGCAACTCATGAACTGTGATGTTTGGACTTGAGATGATTCTATCTTGGAGCTTTCTTGCAATGTACTTGGTTGTGCAAAGTTTGTTCTTGTTCTTTGTTGGGCATTTATGGACAGGTATATAGGTCTTCACAGTAAAGTTCCCCGAATCCCTGTCCTTACTAGCATATATTTGCCACTTACACTTTTCATGTCTACACTTAGCTCTTACTCTATCTTTCTCATTAGGTCTAAGCTTTATAAACACTTTATATTGAATAGCATAATCATCAATAGCTTTCCTAAATTCTGTTGCATTATCAAAGATCATGCCCAACTCAAACAGAGGAATTTTAGCATCAAAGTCATACCTGATCTTTTGACTTCTTCTTCTAGGAGGAATATCAACACCATGTTCAGCAAGTGGGTCTAACTCTTCATCACTGTCTACACTCCCAACATCTGAGCTGTCCACATACTCTTCATCCCCACCTAGCTTTCCAACATATTTATCCTTCTTATTTATCCCTATATCTTCAAACCCCTTATCAATTCCAGCCTCACCAAGTATTACCTCTTCTGTAAAAACAGGTTTTTTCCTCTGTTTCCTATTACTTTGTGATCCAGCATCATTCACCTTGCTCTTCAACTTGTTTCTCTTTACTTCCCTAGCAGCATCCCTCACAGATCTTAACTCATCATCTATCTCACTGTCATCTTCTTCTGGAATGTCTTCAAGGTCATCTTCACCAAAATCTGCATCTTCATCTTCAAGATTTGTCTCCTTAAACTGGTTGTCATGCTCTGCAGTTGCACTCTCTTCAACATTTATATCCTCTTCTAAAATTGTAGACCTAGGTTGTTCTGCATTTACATCACTGCCCTCAGCAGTATTTACTTCAATATCCTCATCAGCATTTACTCCAATACCCTCCTCACAATTTACTCCAATGCCCTCATCAGTATTTACTCCATTGCCCTCATCAGCTGTTACTCCAATACCCTCATTACAATTTACACCAATACCATCATCAACATTTACACCAGCCCCATCACCAACATCTACACTAACCCCTGGACCACCCCTAATTTCTGTAGCCTGGTCACTATCACCAACTTGTAAGGAAGGTAAATATCCCACAACTACTTCCTCCTCCACAACCTCTAAATTATCTATTGCATGACTTACATAGACATCAAAACGATCCCCATCCTTCAGGTCTTTAATCAAATTTAGTAGTTGGTAGTCATTTTCAATTGGAAAGAACTTCTGAGTTTTAGGACATAGGACAAATAACCCACCAACAGAGTTGTAGCGCATTTCAGGGGTCTCTTTTATGTAGGACACAAGCTCGGGCAAAGAGAAATGGTCTTTGTCCACCACATGCCCTATTACTTCACCCTCCCCCACATACTTTTCATCAATAAAGTATCCCCCATGATGAAAAACAACACCAATATATTCGTCCATGTGACTTTATACTGAAAATGACAAAACACAACCAGTCAATATTCCCCGACATTTTCTGATTTTCAAAACAAAAAAAACCCTAATCTAATAGCACCATAACAAAACCAGTTGTGATAAAATAGAAAAAAGCAATAATAAAATATAAACATACCTTTATGCAATAATCGAAGCCTTTACAGCTGACTCCCCTTTTCACAAAAGATCCACTGCCAAAACCCTAAAATGGCCTTCCTTCAGG